GATACTGACTAAAAATAAAAAATAAAAATAAAAAACTGAAAATGGGGGCACCACCAAAATGAAGTGGACGAAATCCGTTGAGTTTTTAATTTTGGGTATAGGTAGGGGCACCACTTCGATTCATGACCCTCCCCTTGGAGTTTTCCTGGATCCGCCCCTGGAATTGTCGCGTTTTCGGATGACGTGAGCCTTGTGCGGTTTTAAATGTTGATCAACTGGTGTTTTTGGGAAATGGCATAGGTAAATAACTTTTGCGTTTCGACGCATTGTGTACTGCGTAGCTCATACAGTTGGTCAACTTTCCGACCACGGCCCTGCTCCGGCACTGCGTCGGACCTAACGGCGCTGGGCTAGCGGCGACTGGAATGGTCACACCCACCGCCAGACATGCTGTCAACACGGGCTGCCAGATTTCCATCACAGTTTGGAATGTGCGCTGAGGGAGTCCACCGTTCCTCTAGGGTCGCCGCTCAGCCCCGTCTGTGTTACCAGGGCGTTCTGAGCGCGTCCAGTGTCGCCATCGCCGGTCGTTTTGCGCTCCCGACTGCACTGAGCAGGCCGCTGTTTACCGAATGGTCGGCGGACAGGAGCGATACTCTACTCTCTATGTTGGGACGGTACATGGCGGTACTCATGGCTGTACCGGTACTCGATACCTGACGGTACACGGGGGACAGGTACGCGATCACGTGTTTGGCCGGTGTCGGGTGAATAGCAAGCCAAAGAGATCTGGTACTCGGCATTTGTTTCCGTTGCCCTGGCGCCGTTAGAGCGTGGTGCCCTCCCTCGCCACCTGTTGCCGCGCGCCGAGCGGTGCGGCTATTTGGAACACCGCACCTCCCTCCCTCCCCTCCCCCTCTCCCACCTGTATGGCCGGAGAGCCGGACCGGGCCGCGGTCAGCTGGTCCGCCGCTCTCAGGGGGAGAGGGGAGGGGCAGTCAGCTGTTCTGCGGGAGGGAGGGGAGGCGGTCAGCTGAGCGCGCGGTGTGGGGCACGGCCGTCAAACCATGGAAGAGGTGAGGGAGGAGGGGGCGGTTGGCCGGTTCATGGACAAGGCGGAATGCGATTACCTAACATGCAGTTCAGGTGTGAGATGGTCCGGGCTTGTCATCTAGCGGTTTTGAATATTTTATTCAGGGCTTTACAAGTGGATGATGCATTTTTTGGTTCTGTCTCGCTTCAGGCAGCCGGATGGGTCATGTGAGTTTATTAAGTTAATTGACTGTCTGTTCTTGCAATTAACTGGGTAACTCATTCTAACGATTTGAACAGATTGGCCCCTTTGAAGTCTGGCTGTCTGTCGTGGTGACTGGTTCTGGTCTGATTGATGCGTATTTCACTGCGGGTCAACCGGAGCTACCATTAGACTCCCAGTATATCAGGTGTGGTGGACGTATCACGCATCACGCAATGACTGGTGAATCGGCTCGCCGACGCGGTAAATGCTCTGCCTGGGAAGCTGCGCAATATTCGTCGTCTCTTCGTCACTGGTTGTGTTCTTTCTCAGTTACCCTTTTGTGCTGTCTGCCCCGTCATACCACTCTTTGACTTATAGCGTTTAGACCCAGTATCGTCCGTCATCGAAAGGCATGGACGAATTGTCGAGCGTTGCTGAAGTTTGCCTTGACGAATACCTATCCCAAGATGGAACTATCCGTGACTGTACTCGGACCATTTTACCGCAGGGTATTCTGGCCACTCTGTTGCACTGGCCGGGTCCGTAATGTGGCCCCTCTACCAGCTGACTCGGCTCTCCCGATCAGCTGATTCCTGTGGAGGGACGGTCGGTGGCTGCTGGGGAGTACCGAGACCACTGAGGGCGGTAGGCGGGGAACTCTCCCGCCGCCCGCCGCCCGCCGCCCGCCGCCCGGTAGTGCGGGGCGTGCCAAACCTGTTGGCGCCTGTCCAGGGAAGAAGGGCGTGAGGTCCGGCAGAGCGCGGCCGGCCGGGTGCGCGTGGGGCGGGGCCAGGGTCAGAGCACAGGGTCGTGCTTAACTGATGTGACGTGGTATTGGTCTAGGTCTCGTTTGTTCCCATGGGTCCATTTTCTGACTGTTCATTTCATGTGGCTGACGCACGTCTGGTATGTGGAGGCGATAAGTGCCTTGGCGGTATTGAGAACATTCGAAGGTGACTATTTAACAGTAAATGCTCGCATGTGAACGATGGCTTTTTGTCACCAAAAGATAAGATTGGTTAGATAAGATTGCTGACATATGTATTGTTATCAGGGTATCCAGTATTGGTGACTTACCTTGGCTATTGTTAACTGTTTACGGCTGGTCTTTTTGTGTGTGTGTAAGAGAGGGCTGAGTACTACTCACTACTCACTACTCAGTGAGTAGTGAGTAGTATCAGCTGGCTATTATTGGTCGGCGTTGGACGGCTCGGCCGGCCACTGTCGGTGTGTCGGCTGTACCGGCAGTGCTGGCCAGTTTCGGTGTGTACTGTGTCAGCTGTACCGGCCAGTTTCGGTGTGTCGGCAGTGCAGGGGCGGATCCAGAAAATCTCCAAGGGAGGGGCCATTAGAAACCAGGAGCCCCCCCCCCCATAATCCCACCTGTTGGAGGCCCCATCTTCCCACTTGTTGGGCCCCCTCCCAAAAAAAAACTGCGTCTTTTGAGCTTATCTAGCTGTTCAGGCAACATCTCAACATCTGTGCAGGCTTGGAGGCCCTCTGTGCAGGTTAGGAGGCCCTGTAAAAGTGGTCATCTCTGTGAGTATAAGAGACCTCCAAGTTATGAAAAGCTTTACCAATCTTCTAACAAAGAAGTCTTCTCAGCTAGTCTTCTAAGAAATAACTAAATGGGTAGGTTAAAAAAAAAACTCATCGGATTTCGGCCACTTTATTTTCAGGAGGCCCCCTTTTCAGCTTTTTAACTTTTTAACTTTTTATTTTATTTTTGAAAAAAATCGGCCAAGGGGGGGCCATGGCCCCCATGGCCCCCCCCCCTTGTATCCGCGCCTGCGGCAGTGTACGCCGGCTGTTGGCCACCGGCCTACAATGACGCCACGCCGAGCCGGGCCGGTAGTGGCGGCTGCCAGCCTCCCGGAGTGGTGGTGGGAGTGGGAACGGGGCCAGTGACCTGACAGGGGTCAGCGACCTGATTGCGAGGGGGCAATGACCTGAGTTGTGGTGGTGACCAGATGAAGCAGTGACCCGACTGAGAAGGGTTAGTGACTTGATTAAAAATCTAAACGTCAACTGGGTGTAACCGCCTGCTCACTGAAAGGGCGGAATTTCGTCGTAGCAGACGAAATCTGTCGGACCCAGCATTGTGTCGCCTATCGCCCGCCGGCCGCGGGTGTTTTCAGTTCCAATGTGCAAGTCATTCTTCTGAGTTTTGATTCGGAGCCTGCCCTTGACGTTTTGGTATGATTGTGGGAAACTTACATAAGATGTCAAATAATTGTCTTTTTCCTGACCCTATGAAAGACATTCTCGATGTGTTATTTGTGTAGCTTTTTACAGTAGATATGATAGTGATGAGAATACCTAATGAAAATCAAACCTCGCCCGTGCCCCTCCCCCGGTATAGTTGGTCCGACGGGCAGCTGACGGTCCGTCACCGTCCGTCCGACGGGCAGCTGGCCGTCCATCACGGTCCGTCTGACGAGCAGCTGGGGGTCCGTCCGTCGGGCAGCTGGGGGTCCGTCACAGGCCGTCCGACGGGCAGCTGGGGATCACAGTCCGTCCGACGGGCAGCCGTCCGTCCATCCGTCACAGTCTGACGGGCAGCTGGCGGTCCATCACAGTCTGACGGGCAGCTGGCGGTCGTCACAGTCCGTCCGACGGGCAGCTGGCCGTCCATCACGGTCCGTCTGACGAGCAGCTGGCCGTCCATCACGGTCTGTCCGACGGGCAGCTGGGGGCCGTCCGTCACAGTCCGACGGGCAGCTGGGGGTCCATCACAGTCCGTCCGTCTGACGGGCAGCTGGGGGTCCATCACAGTCCGTCTGACGGGCAGCTGGCGGTCCATCACAGTCCGTCCGACGGGCAGCTGGGGGTCCATCACAGTAGTCCGACGGGCAGCTGGGGGTCCATCACATCACCATCCGACGGGCAGCTGGCGGTCCATCACCTTCCGACGGGCAGCTGGGGGTCCATCACAGTAGTCCGACGGGCAGCTGGGGGTCCATCACAGTAGTCCGACGGGCAGCTGGGGGTCCATCACGGTCCGACGGGCAGCTGGGGGTCCATCACAGTCCGTCTGACGGGCAGCTGGCGGTCCATCGTCACAGTCCGTCCGACGGGCAGCTGGCGGTCGTCACAGTCCCTCCGACGGGCAGCTGGCCGTCCAGCTCGGATCACCGTCCGTCCGACTCACCCGTTCACCGTCCCTCCGTCCGTCCAGCTGTCTGGGAACCTCTGGGGCGAGAGGCGGGGGGCTCCAGCACAAGTCGGACCGGCCGGCTGCCGGTGTGGGGATCTCGTCCTTTACAACCCGTCCGTCCGTCCCGGTCCGTCCGTAGGCTCCCCCGGCTGGGAGTCGGGGGACGATCGCTCCCACGGAGCAGCGGCCGCTCCGGCCCTGTCTGGCTCCCGTGGCGTACCTACCGATATTTGACCACTGCTCGTGGTCAAATACTGTCCCCACTGCTGGGGACGCCGGCTCCCACGGAGCAGCGGCCGTTCCGGCCCTGTCTGGCTCCCGTCGAGGGCCGATATTTGACCACTGCTCGTGCCGTGTACTATAGTTGCTGAATAGAGCACATCCGTGACTCGCGGCATATTTTTTATTCGTAGAAGGTTTTTGCGTTTCATAGATTTTTTCAGATGACATTGTGTTCTTGTTTACTGATTCCATTACGCTCATGGTGTTCTGTACCGTAGGTATATATATGGTAGATATGTTATGCTCGTAGTTGACTGCTCCTTCAAAACGGCTGCTCCGTTGATGTCCACAGTCCCCGGAGTGGAGGAGTGCTGGCTCCTCTAGCGGTGACCTCCTGCACTGCTGTTTACCGCCCCGTCCGACAGATGTCGCTGTGTGTTTCAGTGCTGCTGTCCATCTGTTCCCTGCTGTGCGACCCTAGCGGCGACCTCCAGCGCCACTGTGTGCCGCTCCGTCTGACAGATGTCGCTGTGTGTTTCAGGGCTGCTGTCCATCTGTTCCCTGCTCTGCGACCCTAGCGGCGACCTCCAGCACTACTGTTTACCGCTCCGTCTGACAGATGTCGCTGTGTGTTTCAGTGCTGCTGTCCATCTGTTCCCTGCTCTGCGACCCTAGCGGTGACCTCCTGCACTGCTGTTTACCGCCCCGTCCGACAGATGTCGCTGTGTGTTTCAGTGCTGCTGTCCATCTGTTCCCTGCTGTGCGACCCTAGCGGCGACCTCCAGCGCCACTGTGTGCCGCTCCGTCCGACAGATGTCGCTGTGTGTTTCAGTGCTGCTGTCCATCTGTTCCCTGCTGTGCCTCTGGTGGCGACTGCCCGCACTACTGTTTACCGCTCCGTCCGACAGATGTCGCTGTGTGTTTCAGTGCTGCTGTCCATCTGTTCCCTGCTCTGCGATCCTAGCGGCGACCTCCAGCGCCACTGTGTGCCGCTCCGTCCGACAGATGTCGCTGTGTGTTTCAGTGCTGCTGTCCATCTGTTCCCTGCTGAGCCTCTGGTGGCGACTGCCCGCACTACTGTTTACCGCTCCGTCTGACAGATGTCGCTGTGTGTTTCAGTGCTGCTGTCCATCTGTTCCCTGCTGTGCGACCCTAGCGGCCACCTCCTGCACTACTGTTTACCGCTCCGTCTGACAGATGTCGCTGTGTGTTTCAGTGCTGCTGTCCATCTGTTCCCTGCTGTGCGATCCTAGCGGCGACCTCCTGCACTACTGTTTACCGCTCCGTCCCTGTGCCACTGGCGGCGACCGCCTGCACTACTGTTTACCGCTCCGTCCGACAGATGTCGCTGTGTGTTTCAGTGCTGCTGTCCATCTGTTCCCTGCTGAGCCTCTGGTGGCGACCTCCTACACTACTGTTTACCGCTCCGTCTGACAGATGTCGCTGTGTGTTTCAGTGCTGCTGTCCATCTGTTCCCTGCTCTGCGACCCTAGCGGCGACCGCCTGCACTACTGTTTACCGCTCCGTCTGACAGATGTCGCTGTGTGTTTCAGTGCTGCTGTCCATCTGTTCCCTGCTGTGTGACCCTAGCGGCCACCTCTTGGACTATTGTGTGCCGCTGTGTCTGACAGATGTTGCTGTATGTCATACACTCATTACTGTGTGTTTCAGTGCTGCTGTCCATCTGTTCCCTGCTGTGCGACCCTAGCGGCGACCTCCAGCGCCACTGTGTGCCGCTCCGTCCGACAGATGTCGCTGTGTGTTTCAGTGCTGCTGTCCATCTGTTCCCTGCTCTGCGACCCTAGCGGCGACCTCCAGCGCCACTGTTTACCGCTCCGTCCGACAGATGTCGCTGTGTGTTTCAGTGCTGCTGTCCATCTGTTCCCTGCTCTGCGACCCTAGCGGCGACCTCCAGCGCCACTGTGTGCCGCTCCGTCCGACAGATGTCGCTGTGTGTTTCAGTGCTGCTGTCCATCTGTTCCCTGCTCTGCGACCCTAGCGGCGACCTCCAGCGCCACTGTGTGCCGCTCCGTCCGACAGATGTCGCTGTGTGTTTCAGTGCTGCTGTCCATCTGTTCCCTGCTGTGCGACCCTAGCGGCGACCTCCAGCGCCACTGTGTGCCGCTCCGTCCGACAGATGTCGCTGTGTGTTTCAGTGCTGCTGTCCATCTGTTCCCTGCTCTGCGACCCTAGCGGCGACCTCCAGCGCCACTGTGTGCCGCTCCGTCCGACAGATGTCGCTGTGTGTTTCAGTGCTGCTCTCGATCTGTTCCCTGCTCTGCGACCCGAACCCGGACGACCCCCTGGTGCCCGAGATCGCCCGCATCTACAAAACCGACCGAGACAAGTACAACGAGGTAAGCCGAGAGCCGCCGGCTCGTCGGGGCGGTGGGTTCGATTCTCACTGACGGGTGGTGTGAGAGGTCTCCGGGGCTTGGCGATCTTCAGTTCTAAAAAAATGCGCTGGTTAATGTGTACCGAAGTGTAATGTAAACGCGTATATACTATATAGCCGGTGCTATTGAGTGACCATGCTGAAATTCCAGCACGTGGAACCCGAAGTTTAAAATTCCATATGGTTGCCTTGTCTCAGCTGACCGTGCCTTTGCCACTTTCAGTTGATTTTATCCTCATAATGCGACTTTGTCCTTGTATATGCGTATCATCACCCGTCGCGTCTCTTACCTGGGCTTCCGTGCTCGGTTTTTATCTGTTTCCGTTTTTTGGTGCTTACTTATAAGGGTTTCTGATTGTATTCTGGCGTTTCGGGCCTGTGCTTCGGTGTTTGGCGTTTCTGACTCTGTTGTTGTTGTTGTTTGTGACCTGTGTTTCCGCGCTCGTCCGCCAGGTGGCCCGGGAGTGGACGCGCAAGTACGCCATGTGATAGCGGAACTGACCACCAGGGGCGCTGTCGGCGCCGCGCCGCCGCCACCGCCGCCTGGCGGCCGGCCGGCGCAGCTGCAGTGCGGTCGGTGGCCGCGGGGCGGCGCGCGGCCGGCCGCCGGGCCGTGTACTCTGTGTCGGCGTGTGCGGCGCGCGGCGACATCTCACACCGTCGCCATGGAAACGGGGCGCGGGCGTCCAACCAGCGTCGTGCTGCGGCGCGCGGCGCGATTTGATTGGCTGCCTCACAGTGTCGGTGCGGCATTGGGGCGCAGCCGACCAATGGGTGTCGCGCTGCGGCGCGCGGCGCGTTTTGATTGGCTGTCCGGACGGAGCAATGAAAGTGATTCAGATAAATACACCGTAATCCGTATACACCACTCATCGTCAGTGTTTATTATGCCAGCAAACTGGCCTGTGTTAAAAAGTAGCTCGTACATCAAGCATGCATATCATGTATTGCCTTAATAATGCTCCACAATTACCTCACTGCTTCAAAATATCTGTATCAAATGGCATAGGCTGTTGACGGCCGTCATTTTGGCCAGCCGTGTTTGGAGAACAAGCAGCTCACTGACGGGGTTCGCACATCTCAGGGGCGGGACAACGGGCACCTGATGACAATGCTGGATCTTACAGTAGAACAGTCACTGGTCTCATTTGAGATCATTCACTGGTCTCCAGCGCTCTCCATCAATTTGGCACTGAAATGACACGGCTAGGCGGACGTGAATGACCATTCATAGCCATTCAAATGTAAAATCCTATATAAAATGTGAAAAGCTAGACATATATCGCTGAAGCCACATGTTGAAGCCGTGGTGGTCACGACACAGGTGGAAAGGTTACGGCTTACGTTAATTGTACGACTTGCGCTCAGAACACAGCATATAGAACACAGAACACAGTGCCCGGTCGTTAGCACAAGACCCGGCGAGGTCTACCGAGTACCTCGGGTACAGCTGTCAGTGTGTCGGCTCAGTACACTCTGTGCTGTGAAGGCGCCCTACCCCGACTGCAGTTGTGTGCCGCCGTCAGCTGCTCCAGGACCGGGTCCACCCACTGCCGGGTCGTAACGCGCTGAAGGCGGATGGCTCATGGTCATATCCACGGCCCCTGTGAGTGGTCCCTGGAGCGTGAAATGGTACAGCGAGTCACACTATCCGGCCGCTCAGAGTCGTCGTGTAACCGTCTCTAAACTCGCAGAGCCTCTGAACAGCTGGCCGGCCGAGCACCTGTCTCACAGAGGCCCGGCTACCTGTGACTGGGAGTGGCCATTGGAGCCGAACTGCGCCACATCCAACTCACAGAGGCCCGGGTTCCTGTGACTGGAAGTGGCCACCTGAGCTGAACTGCGCCACATCCAACTCACAGAGGCCCGGGTTCCTGTGACTGGGAGTGGCCACCTGAGCTGAACTGCGCCACATCCATCTCACAGAGGCCCGGCTACCTGTGACTGGGAGTGGCCATATTTGAGCCGAACTGCGCCACATCCAACCCACAGAGGCCCGGGTTCCTGTGACTGGGAGTGGCCATTGGAGCCGAACTGCGCCACATCCAACCCACAGAGCCCCAGGTTCCTGTGACTCATGACTGAGCCGTGGCCATTTGAGCCGAACTATGGCACACCCAACCCGCACAGCCCAGGGTGCCAGTGACTGTGAGGGCCATTGGACACCTGTAACCGGACAACCAAAACAACCCTGAGCAGCTGTGACTCGTTCAAAGAGCCGTCCACCCTCAGACACAGACGACGGAGTCCACCGTCCACCCTCAGATACAGACGACGGAGTCTACCCGCGAGCCGCCCTGAACCGCCGATATCTCTGCCGCCACCCGCGAGTCGCCCTGAACCGCCGATATCTCCGCCGACGACGGAGTCCACCCGCGAGTCGCCCTGAACCGCCGATATCTCCGCCGTCCACCCTCAGACACAGACGACGGAGTCTACCCGCGAGCCGCCCTGAACCGCCGATATCTCTGCCGCCACCCGCGAGTCGCCCTGAACCGCCGATATCTCCGCCGACGACGGAGTCCACCCGCGAGTCGCACTGAACCGCCGATATCTCCGCCGCGAGCCGCCGTGAGCCGCCCCGCGTCCAGTCCACAGAGTGAGCTGTCCAGTCCACAGAGTGAGCCGTCCGATCCACAGAGTGAGCCACCGTGAGCCGCCCGGTCCACAGAGCGGGCCGTCGTGAGCAGTACTATGAGCGGCTGGCAGTGCGCCCCCCCCCCCATAGAGCCACCATGGTCCATCCTTCCCCCCCCCCCTCCCATAGAGCCACCACGGCCCGTCGGTCCCTCCTCCCATAGAGCCACCATGGTCCATCCTTCCCCCCTCCCATAGAGCCACCACGGCCCGTCGGTCCCCCCTCCCATAGAGCCACCATGGCCCATCCGTCCCCCCTCCCATAGAGCTACCACGGCCCATCCGTCGCCCCCCCCCTTCCCTCCCATAGAGCCACCACGGCCCGTCGGTCGTCCCTCCCATAGAGCCACCATGGTCCATCCTTCCCCCCTCCCATAGAGCCACCACGGCCCGTCGGTCCCCCCTCCCATAGAGCCACCATGGCCCATCCGTCCCCCCTCCCATAGAGCTACCACGGCCCATCCGTCGCCCCCCCCCCCTTCCCTCCCATAGAGCCACCACGGCCCGTCGGTCGTCCCTCCCATAGAGCCACCACGGCCCGTCGGTCGTCCCTCCCATAGAGCCACCACGGCCCATCGGTCGTCCCTCCCATAGAGCCAACACGGCCCGTCGGTCGTCCCCCCACCCCCTCCCATAGAGCCACCACGTCCCGTCGGTCGTCCCATTTCCCTCAGTGAGACCACCGATCCGCCCTGTCCCGCCGAGTCGCCACGAGAAGTCCCAGGCGTCTTCATCTGAACTCCGCCGTGGTTTCCGTTCGGCGCTCTCAGTGCCTCAGCTGGTACATGGGCACCTGGGGCCGGTCGCGCGCTCTCAGCTGATGGGGCTCCAGTACGGGAGCGGTGGCCGTCCTCCAGCGCTGCCGACAGGGCACCACAGAGGTGTCAGGCGGTGTACCTACCACAGGGGTGTCAGACGGTGTACCACAGGGGTGTCAGACGGTGTAGCACAGGGGTGTCAGACGGTGTACCACAGGGGTGTCAGACGGTGTACCACAGGGGTGTCAGACGGTGTACCACAGAGGTGTCAGACGGTGTACCACAGGGGTGTCAGGCCGTGTACCACAGGGGTGTCAGACGGTGTACCACAGAGGTGTCAGACGGTGTACCACGGGTGTCATTGACTCCATTTTTCAAACCTTATCTTCACTGAATGCCGATGTATTAGCAAAAATGATGTTGGACCCATTTGACCTCAGGTGACCCGACCACGTTTTTCAGTAAATAAGCAAACTTGTGACTGAGACTTGAATTAAATATGTACAAAAAAAAACGTCATGAGGTCTGCCAAATTTGGCGCCGCTTTACGCCCTCGCTTTTATCTACGCGAGAATTTGTAGTAAGTGGGTATATCAACCACCCTGTCCGAGGGAGGGTTAACGCTCCTCCCTACCCTTTACCTGAAGGAGGCTGCCGCCAGGTGTCAGTACCAGTCTGATGACCAGGTAGCCCGGTATGGTACCCCTCCCTCACCTGTAGGAGGCTGCCGCCAGGTGTCAGTACCAGTCTGATGACCAGGTAGCCCGGTATGGTACCCCTCCCTCACCTGTATGAGGCTGCCGCCAGGTGTCAGTACCAGTCTGATGACCAAGTAGCCCGGTATGGTATCCTCACCTGTAGGAGGCTGCCGCCAGGTGTCAGTACCAGTCTGATGACCAGGTAGCCCGGTATGGTACCCTCACCTGTAGTAGGCTGCCGCCAGGTGTCAGTACCAGTCTGATGACCAGGTAGCCCGGTATGGCACCCTCACTTCTAGGAGGCTGCCGCCAGGTGTCAGTACAAGTCTGATGACCAGGTAGCCCGGTATGGCACCCTCACCTGTAGGAGGCTGCCGCCAGGTGTCAGTACCAGTCTGATGACCAGGTAGCCCGGTATGGTGCCCTCACCTGTATGAGGCTGCCGCCAGGTGTCAGTACCAGCAGGGGCGGATCCAGAAAATCTCCAAGGGAGGGGCCATTAGAAACCAGGAGGCCCCCATAATCCCACCTGTTGGAGGCCCCATCTTCCCACTTGTTGGCCCCCCCAAAAAAAAAACTGCGTCTATTGAGCTTATCTAGCTGTTCAGGCAACATCTCAACATGAATAGCCACTTTATTTTCAGGAGGCCCCCTTTTCAGCTTTTTAACTTTTTATTTTATTTTTGAAAAAAAATCGGCCAAGGGGGGGGGGGCCATGGCCCCCATGCCCCCCCCCCTTGTATCCGCGCCTGAGTACCAGTCTGATGACCAGGTAGCCCGGTATGGTACCCCTCCCTCACCTGTAGGAGGCTGCCGCCAGGTGTCAGTACCAGTCTGATGACCAGGTATCCCGGTATGGTGCCCTCACCTGTAGGAGGCTGCCGCCAGGTGTCAGTACCAGTCTGATGACCAGGTAGCCCTGTATGGTACCCCTCCCTCACCTGTAGGAGGCTGCCGCCAGGTGTCAGTACCAGTCTGATGACCAGGTAGCCCGGTATGGTACCCCTCCCTCACCTGTAGGAGGCTGCCGCCAGGTGTCAGTACCAGTCTGATGACCAGGTAGCCCGGTATGGTACCCTCCCTCACCTGTAGGAGGCTGCCGCCAGGTTTCAGTACCAGTCTGATGACCAGGTAGCCCGGTATGGTACCCCTCCCTCACCTGTAGGAGGCTGCCGCCAGGTGTCAGTACCAGTCTGATGACCAGGTAGCCCGGTATGGTACCCCTCCATCACCTGTAGGAGGCTGCCGCCAGGTGTCAGTACCAGTCTGATGACCAGGTAGCCCGGTATGGCACCCTCACCTGTAGGAGGCTGCCGCCAGGTGTCAGTACCAGTCTGATGACCAGGTAGCCCGGTATGGTATCCTCACCTGTAGGAGGCTGCCGCCAGGTGTCAGTACCAGTCTGATGACCAGGTAGCCCGGTATGGTATCCTCACCTGTAGGAGGCTGCCGCCAGGTGTCAGTACCAGTCTGTTGACCAGGTAGCCCGGTATGGTACCCTCCCTCACCTGTAGGAGGCTGCCGCCAGGTGTCAGTACCAGTCTGATGACCAGGTATCCCGGTATGGTGCCCTCACCTGTAGGAGGCTGCCGCCAGGTGTCAGTACCAGTCTGATGACCAGGTAGCCCGGTATGGTACCCTCCCTCACCTGTAGGAGGCTGCCGCCAGGTTTCAGTACCAGTCTGATGACCAGGTAGCCCGGTATGGTACCCCTCCCTCACCTGTAGGAGGCTGCCGCCAGGTGTCAGTACCAGTCTGATGACCAGGTAGCCCGGTATGGCACCCTCACCTGTAGGAGGCTGCCGCCAGGTGTCAGTACCAGTCTGATGACCAGGTAGCCCGGTATGGTACCCTCACCTGTAGGAGGCTGCCGCCAGGTGTCAGTACCAGTCTGATGACCAGGTAGCCCGGTATGGTACCCTCACCTGTAGGAGGCTGCCGCCATGTGTCAGTACCAGTCTGATGACCAGGTAGCCCGGTATGGTACCCCTCCCTCACCTGTAGGAGGCTGCCGCCAGGTGTCAGTACCAGTCTGATGACCAGGTAGCCCGGTATGGTACCCCTCCCTCACCTGTAGGAGGCTGCCGCCAGGTGTCAGTACCAGTCTGATGACCAGGTAGCCCGGTATGGTACCCCTCCCTCACCTGTAGGAGGCTGCCGCCAGGTGTCAGTACCAGTCTGATGACCAGGTAGCCCGGTATGGTACCCCTCCCTCACCTGTAGGAGGCTGCCGCCAGGTGTCAGTACGGGGACCCGCAGTTGCTACTGTACACGAACCCCAAGCCTAACCGTCTGTCCTGTCCAGTAACAAGTGATAACATTGATATCGACTGCCCGTCCCTGTACAAGAGCAGCTGAGGTTTTCTGTGCGTGCCCTCTGACAGCTTATCGTTGTTCCCTGTGAGGGTGCTGGGACAATTTACTCAGGGTCGCTATACAGTAGCAACTGCGGGTCCCCGTACCAGTCTGATGACCAGGTATCCCGGTATGGTGCCCTCACCTGTAGGAGGCTGCCGCCAGGTGTCAGTACCAGTCTGATGACCAGGTAGCCCGGTATGGTACCCTCCCTCACCTGTAGGAGGCTGCCGCCAGGTTTCAGTACCAGTCTGATGACCAGGTAGCCCGGTATTAGGGTGGCACTTAACCCTCGCCCGCACATGGGGGGGGGGGTGGTTGCCACCCCCCCCCCCCAGGCAGTCTTTCTGCTCTGCACTCAACATTTTTAGAGCTAGAAGGCTGATTTTTCGTATAGCTGCTCGTCTATCCTTTCTTGATGTCCCCTGAAAATTTCAAGTTTCTGTGATTTTTGGTTTCGGAGATATGACCTTGTTTTTCAGGTCATGTCATGACCCAAATGGCCAATTCTCAACATCTTGCGTTTGCCATGGGCCTTGTGAGCTTTTGACACCCTGATTTCGGCCTTTTTTGCCAGTCTTACCTCCCACCTATCATGGAACATGTTGTTCGACGATGTACAGGGGTCAAGGTCAGGGTCAAGGTCAACCTAGGTCATCTAAGATAATTGCGTTTTAGGCAAGCTGAATTTACTTTTTGTGAATTTTTTTGACTGCATTTTTGGTAAAAGCTTCTCAGATCATGATTTCATGTGATATGGACCCAAAAACAATCGGTGCACACATCAGTATACACACAGACACACACAGACATACAAACACATATAATTGACCTTGACCTAACTTGACCTGAAATGACCTCAGCAGCAAAATTCTGGTCGGATAGTGTGACAAAGGGGTTCTAGCTGGCTTGGCACCAGAAAACAGCATCGTCATCGGTATTTGATAAGCAGCGCACTTGATATCCAACGGTGACCCAAAACAGCAACATTTTTTAGTTTGACCTGACCTGGAAGGTCAATGACTGACCTGAGAAGGTAAAACTGGGTATCATTGGATTCGTCTCTTCCCAAAGAATCTTTTTGGTCTTTACTGCTAAGCTCTATCTCCAACAGGAACGAAATGGCGCGGGGGGTGGCAACCACCCCCCCCCCCCCATGTGCGTTCTAGGATGGGAAAATGGCATGTGCGGGCGAGGGTTAAAAATCGATTTTTGATTTTTAATGCGTGCGGGTGGTTTAACGGTTCCATTCCCGTAAAAAATAAGGTAGGCAAATTTTTGTGGGAAAATATTGATATTTAGAGGTCGCGAATCAAGGTCAAAGTTGAGATTTTTGTAAGAAATTTCGATATCATCAAATTCTCTTCTGACTTTGCTATGTAACTGTATTTGGATGATAATAAGGCATTTCTTGGTCATTTTCATATTGTTTATCGATATTCCACGCATTTTCGGTCACACCGGACCACTGGTCTATGTACTTCGCTACTCCAGTTCCCCCCTTTTGTAGACTATTGGCGCCTCATTGGAGGGAGGGGTATCATGGGCAGTGGATACCCAGATCCCTTTGTGTGTGGCCTGGGTAGCAGTTGCAGCCGATCTTCGGGCTTCAGGCTAGCGTTGTCTGTGATCTTCAACGACATGGAGGAAGAACTGGCGCTAATCTGTGTCTTTCATGAGTGCCAGGCCTACATCAGTGCCACACCGCGCCTGGTGAAGTCATTCACCACCCGCAGCTCCCGGACCACACGAGCGGCGCTTTGGTAGCTACTGTCCTCCCAGTGGTCTTGGTCATTGATGATGAGCCCTGCGTCCAGGTCGTGGATCCTTGAGAGCTGTTTGAACGATGGTGTGAGGAAGCTCGCCAACGTCTTGGTCGCGAGAGCGGCGTTCATGGTGTCCACTAAGGGCTTGTGGGGCGGGTCCTCGTCCCCTCTCTCTCCTGCAAGACTATTACCCACACCATGACTTGATTGATCCCGAGGGTCTGGGTCGAAAAGCTCCAGTCACCAGTCGATCACTACAGGTGACGGCCGAAGACCGGGACTGTCGCCTTCGACAGCTCCTTGTCGGGGTAGTTGCAGAGCGCATTCACGGAGGTCAGGTCCCGAGCCGGCGCAGTAGGGGGAGTAGAGTCCGAGACCAGGCGGCGGCGGCGGCGGCGGCGTACGTGCAGAGTGCAGACGACGACAGCGCACAGCGTCTGATGACCTGGGCCTCGGCCGCCGTCAGCCGGAACTGCTCCCTGAAGAGGAAGACATCCACAGGACGGATGGCCTTTGCTATCCACATAACTCAGTGGAGTACTCTGCAGCGAAGAAGCGGATGCCGTGCTTTGGAACTCCACCGAGAGCAATTACGCAGAGCTCCAGGAGTTTTTGGTAGTCTTCCCGGAGCTGGGCGTAGTCGAGGAAGCGGCGGAAGCTGACCAGCACCTCGTCCCTCTCCGGGACGTCGTCGACGGCGAAACGATCCAGGGCCGATCCAACTTTTGCTCGATGAGGGCTAAATCTCCGTTCACCAGCATGCTGTTCGCCGTCGTGGTGTCGAAGGAAAAGGCCGCAGATTCGCTTCTCCAGCTCCTAGTCCCCCAGTGCTGTGAGCACATGACCTGTGCTTGGATGGACGAGAGTTTGGGAACGGCGATGAGCTTCGACACCCTGACCCCCCCCCCCTCTCCAACACCAGCACGAATAATCGGTCGATGCTCCCCTTCCCTCACGGTTCAGGACTCGCGGTTCAGCCGAAAACGTATCCTAAGTTCCGAGCCGCAGTTGATAGCAGGTTCACGTGTGCTTCACACATTACGGTTGGACAGTTGGGTCCAGTCGAGGCTAGTTCACTGTTGGGGACGCCCACTCGCCCCCATGCGCTTACCCGCGTGAGTCGACGTTTAGATTTTCTATAAATGGTCGCCATCGTCGAAGACGTTCTCTTCGTGTGCGCGCCGCACATCATATACGAATTAAGTCTGTTGCTGGCACTGGCTCTAGAGACGGAAGAAGCGCCCACGGAAGAAATTCCCGAAATCACAATAGACCGGTGCAGCTCAATGCACACTCTCGCCTCTGCTTTCGCCCGTCTGCGATTGGTTGACTCCAACTTCTTCTTCACCTTCTCTTTGGCAGAAAAGGGACATATCTCGCATAGGGCACCGGTCGCAGGCCAAAACAGGCCTGGGATGGGTAAAACAGCCCAGGTCAGACCTGTTTTGGCCTGACCTGGACTGGCTACGACCGGCCGGAAGTGATGGGATAAGCAATTGCTTAACAAATAAAGGCCAAAATACGTCGGAAATGACGTTTGATGACCGCATATGTTATTCCAAATAGGTTTCAAACAGTTAAAAAAAAAAGTTGATTTTCCCCAAAAACTGTTAACTGACCTCAATTTGCGACCCGTAAATATCAATATTTTTCAAAATCATTTTTCACACATTATTTTCTACGGGGATGGAACCAGAAAACCACCCGCACGCCTAAAAATAGGATAAAATGAAATTCGCCCTATTGCTAAGTGCCACCCTACCCGGTATGGTACCCCTCCCTCACCTGTAGGAGGCTGCCGCCAGGTGTCAGTACCAGTCTGATGACCAGGTAGCCCGGTATGGCACCCTCACCTGTAGGAGGCTGCCGCCAGGTGTCAGTACCAGTCTGATGACCAGGTAGCCCGGTATGGTACCCTCACCTGTAGGAGGCTGCCGCCAGGTGTCAGTACCAGTCTGATGACCAGGTAGCCCGGTATGGTACCCTCACCTGTAGGAGGCTGCCGCCAGGTGTCAGTACCAGTCTGATGACCAGGTAGCCCGGTATGGTACCCTCTCTCACCTGTAGGAGGCTGCCGCCAGGTGTCAGTACCAGTCTGATGACCAGGTAGCCCGGTATGGTACCCCTCCCTCACCTGTATGAGGCTGCCGCCAGGTGTCAGTACCAGTCTGATGACCAAGTAGCCCGATATGGTACCCTCACCTGTAGGAGGCTGCCGCCAGGTGTCAGCACCAGTCTGATGACCAGGTAGCCCGGTATGGTATCCTCACCTGTAGGAGGCTGCCGCCAGGTGTCAGTACCAGTCTGATGACCAGGTAGCCCGGTATGGTATCCTCACCTGTAGGAGGCTGCCGCCAGGTGTCAGTACCAGTCTGATGACCAGGTAGCCCGGTATGGTACCCTCACCTGTAGTAGGCTGCCGCCAGGTGTCAGTACCAGTCTGATGACCAGGTAGCCCGGTATGGTACCCTCACTTGTAGGAGGCTGCCGCCAGGTGTCAGTACCAGTCTGATGACCAGGTAGCCCGGTATGGTACCCTCACCTGTAGGAGGCTGCCGCCAGGTGTCAGTACCAGTCTGATGACCAGGTAGCCCGGTATGGTACCTCACCTGTAGGAGGCTGCCGCCAGGTGTCAGTACCAGTCTGATGACCAGGTAGCCCGGTATGGTACCCTCACTTGTAGGAGGCTGCCGCCAGGTGTCAGTGCCAGTCTGATGACCAGGTAGCCCGGTATGGTACCCTCACCTGTAGGAGGCTGCCGCCAGGTGTCAGTACCAGTCTGATGACCAGGTAGCCCGGTATGGTACCCTCACCTGTAGGAGGCTGCCGCCAGGTGTCAGTACCAGTCTGATGACCAGGTAGCCCGGTATGGTACCCTCACCTGTAGGAGGCTGCCGCCAGGTGTCAGTACCAGTCTGATGACCAGGTAGCCCGGTATGGTACCCCTCCCTCACCTGTATGAGGCTGCCGCCAGGTGTCAGTACCAGTCTGATGACCAAGTAGCCCGGTATGGTACCCTCACCTGTAGGAGGCTGCCGCCAGGTGTCAGCACCAGTCTGATGACCAGTTAGCCCGGTATGGTACCCTCACCTGTAGGAGGCTGCCGCCAGGTGTCAGTACCAGTCTGATGACCAGGTAGCCCGGTATGGTACACCTCCCTCACCTGTATGAGGCTGCCGCCAGGTGTCAGTACCAGTTTGATGACCAGGTAGCCCGGTATGGTACCCTCACCTGTAGGAGGCTGCCGCCAGGTGTCAGTACAAGTCTGATGACCAGGTAGCCCGGTATGGTATCCTCACCTGAAGGAGGCTGCCGCCAGGTGTCAGTACCGGGCTACCTGGTCATCAGACTGGTACTGACACCTGAGGGGTGTTCACGGGCACCGCACACTGCTGCGTGCGGTGTGTGCGGTACGTCCAGCAGGCGTGGGGGTAGGGGATGGGTAGGCGGCTCTGACGTCACGGCTGCGTGCGGTGGACGGTCCGCTGTGGCCAGTCCCGACCGGCCACAGCGGTCGCTGTGTGCGGTGACGCAAGGCTGACGTAGGGACGCAGTGGGCGGAGCTTGGAGGCTGTGTGCGGTCCGACCGCACACAGGGTCCGTGAACAGCCTCCTGGCGGCAGCCTCCTTCAGGTGAGGATACCATACCGGGCTACCTGGTCAACAGACTGGTACTGACACCTGGCGGCAGCCTCCTACAGGTGAGGGAGGGGTACCATACCGGGCTACCTGGTCATCAGACTGGTACTGACACCTGGCGGCAGCCTCCTACAGGTGAGGGTGCCATACCGGGCTACCTGGTCATCAGACTTGTACTGACACCTGGCGGCAGCCTCCTACAGGTGAGGGTACCATACCGGGCTACCTGGTCATCAGACTGGTACTGACACCTGAGGGCCCGGTATGGTACCCTCACCTGTAGGAGGCTGCCGCCAGGTGTCAGTACAAGTCTGATGACCAGGTAGCCCGGTATGGCACCCTCACCTGTAGGAGGCTGCCGCCAGGTGTCAGTACCAGTCTGATGACCAGGTAGCCCGGTATGGTACCCCTCCCTCACCTGTAGGAGGCTGCCGCCAGGTGTCAGTACCAGTCTGTTGACCAGGTAGCCCGGTATGGTATCCTCACCTGAAGGAGGCTGCCGCCAGGTGTCAGTACCAGTCTGATGACCAGGTAGCCCGGTATGGTAACCATGGAGAGCAGAGCCGTCAGAGCCGCCTACCCATCCCCTACCCCCACGCCTGCTGGACGTACCGCACACACCGCACGCAGCAGTGTGCGGTGCCCGTGAACACCCCTCAGGTGTCAGTACCAGTCTGATGACCAGGTAGCCCGGTATGGTACCCTCACCTGTAGGAGGCTGCCGCCAGGTGTCAGTACAAGTCTGATGACCAGGTAGCCCGGTATGGCACCCTCACCTGTAGGAGGCTGCCGCCAGGTGTCAGTACCAGTCTGATGACCAGGTAGCCCGGTATGGTACCCCTCCCTCACCTGTAGGAGGCTGCCGCCAGGTGTCAGTACCAGTCTGTTGACCAGGTAGCCCGGTATGGTATCCTCACCTGTAGGAGGCTGCCGCCAGGTGTCAGTACCAGTCTGATGACCAGGTAGCCCGGTATGGTAACCATGGAGAGCAGAGCCAGCATCCAGCCGACGGCGTCGGCGTACCGCGGGTACACGTACCCGTCGTACTTCAGCGGGGTGTGCGTCACCAGGGAGAACACGAATATACCCTGGGGGGAGGGGGAGCGGTCAGTAGACAGGACACAAATATACCCGGGGGGGGCGGGGGCAGCGGTCAGTAGACAGGACACGTATGTATATACCCTGGGGGGGGGGCGGTGGTCAGTAGACAGGACACGTATATACCCTGGGGTAGGGGGCAGCGGTCAGTAGACAGGACACGAATATACCCTGGGGTAGGGGGCAGCGGTCAGTAGACAGGAGTAGGACACGAATATACCCGGGGGGGGGGGGGCAACGGTCAGTAGACAAGAGTAGGACACGAATATACCCTGGGGGAGCGATCAGTAGACAAGAGTAGGACACGAATATACCCTGGGGGAGGGGGAGGGGAGTGGTCAGTAGACAGGACACAAATATACCCTTGGGGGGGGGGGGAGGGAGCGGTCAGTAGACAGGACACGTATTTACCCTAGGGGGAGGGGGGGCAGCGGTCAGTAGACAGGACACAAATATACCCGGGGGGAGCGGTCAGTAGACAGGACACAAATATACCCTGGGGGGCAGGGGGCAGCGGTCAGTAGACAGGGCACGAATATACCCTGGGAGGGGGGAGCAGCGGTCAGTAGACAGGACACGAATATACCCTGGGGGTAGGGGGCAGCGGTCAGTAGACAGGACACAAATATACCCTGGGGAGGGGGCAGCGGTCAGTAGACAGGAATAGGACACGTATATACCCTGGGGGGGGGGGGGCAGCGGTCTGTCGACAGAACACAAATATACCCGAGGGGAGCGGTCAGTAGACAGGACACGAATATACCCTGGGGGAGGGGGGAGCGGTTAGTAGACAGGACACAAATATACCTACCCGGGGGGGAGCAGCGGTCAGTAGACAGGACACGTATATACCCTGGGGGAGGAGGGGGCAGCGGTCAGTAGACAGGACACAAATATACCCTGGGGGGAGGAGGGGCAGCGGCAAGTAGACAGGACACAAATATACCTTAGGGGGGGGGGGGAGCGGTGGTCAGTAGACAGAACACGAATATACCCGGGGGGGGGGCAGCGGTCAGTAGACAGGACACAAATATATCCTGGGGGGAGGGGGGAGCGGTCAGTAGACAGGACACGAATATACCCTGGGGGAGGGGGGAGCGGTCAGTAGACAGGACACGAATATACCCTGGGGGAAGGACACCGCGCCGGTCAGATTACGAATGTACCCCATGGGGTGCCGGGGGTGGGGGTGGAGGTCACCCCAGGCCGGTGTCCGTTCGGTCACGAGGCACCGGCCTGGGGTGGGGGTAGTGGGTACAATCCACCGGTCAGCCAGGTCACCCTGACTGCGGTCAGCAGTGGTTTCAGTATGTCACTATGTCAGTGTCAGTATGTCACTATGTCAGTGTCAGTGACTTACCGCAGTGAGCAGCGGTGTCAGCACGGTCCAGCAGATTCTCAGCCAGGGTCCGGGCCGGGAGCCCACCATGCCCTGTATGTTGTCGTAGAACCGCTCGCCACCGTACACCCAGGCGACGGCCACGCACTCGAAGAAGCAGAACCACAGCAGCACCATGCCCGAGGCCGAGTAGTAGTCGAACAGCGTGAACACGTATACACCGCCCTGTGGAATATCCGGGACACGGCATCAACACACCGCCCCGTGACGTCATCCGAGGCACAGTGTCATCACGTACAGCCCTCAGCAGACTGCGTGGTAGGTATTCTTTTTCCGACAAAACTGATAATAATTCAAAAGTCATGTTATCAGTCGGTCGAAACTCACTGCAAATAGATGCGCCATGCTCCACTCCTTCGATAGGGCCTATCAATAAATAAAGCATACGCCTTGTGTGGCAACAAAATGTAAAAGTTCGATTTGGGGGCAAATATGGACTTTTGGGTTTTGTTGCCAAACTGGATGGAAAATGCATACGATGATAATGCCAATCTAAGCTGCGGAGTCTCGCGCATCTTGCTGCTACGATTTCCGAGTGCCCGATAGCATTGTATTCGCGTTATTCTCGGTTTTTTCGAAAAAAGAATACCTACCACGCAGTCTGCAGAGGGCTGTACATACACGCGTACGTCCTCCGCCCGGTGGGGAAAACGTGACTGGGGTTTAAAGGGACAGTATCATCGAAAAAAATCCATGTATGGAGCTGATTTTTTTTTTACTAGCATTTCTTATTTTTCTGAATCAGAAAAACATAGTTTGAGGACCGAACTCGGTGAAAAATATTGCAACCACATTTCATTTTCATGATTCATTTTCATGAGCGAACCACCACTATTCAAGCATGGCCGCCAGTTTGGAAGCATGCAAAATTGCTACAGAACTGGCGCAGATAATACATTATTGACGCTACGCTTACGCGGTCGTTCTTCTGATTGAGTTGTCCTTAGGGAGAGGTAGCCTTAGGTATTGCCTATAAAAATATAACGTGACAATTGGAGGGAGTGACAATTGGACGTGACAATTGACAATGGGAGAAAATATCACGTGACAATCACGTGATAAACGTCATACATTGGAGGGAGATTGTGATTCAAGCTGGAGGAATTCCTTTGTTGAGCCGCTAGAATCCGAAGGAAACAGCGGAAATTGCCTACGACTATTTAATGAATTTAACGGTGATGAATAAGTGCGAAAAACGTTTTGGCTTTATAAAATTTGATGAAATGACCAGGGTAAAAGTTTTATTACCTACTGGCGGTCAATTCAAAACGGCGCAAACATTTAAACAGTGAAGACAGTGAAGCACGATTCAAAGTGTGGTACACCTTTCGTACTTTGAGCGGCGATAGCGGGATAACGGTGTGGAGCTTCGAGGATCGGTCTTCAGTTCCCGGACCAGAAAGGTGGGGCCTATGCAATGTCAAATTTCATCAAAATGGTGATACTGTCCCTTTAACAACTTAGCTATTCACTGGGTCAATAAGCTTTTAACTCAACACGTTAGTAAATGCGCAACACTTTAGCAATGGGATAACTTTTTACCATTCGTTTAACCGTCGAAACCATTCGACACCGCCTTTTTCCTTAGAGCGCTACTTTCGCCATTGGGTATTGCTATTTTAACTACCTCTATGCGAAGAAGTGAGACGTGTCTTATAGTGTGAGAGTAAAATAAAAGCTGCACCCTGTTTAGTGGTTTGATCAATTCAGTAGTTAATAGGGGAGAGCGGGGCCAGTTGAACCACTTTTTATATATTGACCTGAACAGCGAGATCTAGTTGTCATATCGAAAAATGCACAATGCCATGGAAAAATATGCTCTTTTGGCTTTATTTTAAGATATGTAAAATTATGTTTCAAACATATTTTGCTGCCAAACGCATGCTTATAAAACAGCTCTACGCCCGTTTCAAATGACCCCGATGCGAGGGTCAATTGAACCAGCCCATGGGGTCAATTGCACCTATCCTTAACAATGGGATGTTTTCCTCTTAAAGGCCACTTTCTTAAGGAGATATTTTGTCCGGTTTACTTTTCCAAATGCTACATTCAATAGCTCGTTGGAAAGCTAAAAGTGCAAAGTTCCTCATAATAGGTGACATAAAGTACATAGACTATGGTAAAATGGGCGGATGAGAAAAATGAGAAATATCTCAGGCTATAGTGTGCTTTCAAGCAAAAGGCTGGAGAAAAAGGGGTCAAAAATTGAGCTCTATTAAACTACTATTTCAGTTTAACCCATTTACGCCCTTCGTTGCGTTTTCGCAACACAAGCAAGCGTCGACGTGATCAAATCTTGAGAAGTGTATAATGGCGTCTCGCCGATGAGACAAGTTTCAGCGCGTTTAGCATGAATCCGCGCATGATGCTACGCAGTTACAAGTCTGTGCGGCCGGTAACTTACCGTCCAGAGCTCCCAGAGGGAAGTCGAAGGTCCCGTCAGTGATGACGTCACGAAAACCAAAATAAGTAGATTAAGTGATTAATTATATCGTAATGAATAATGTGTGAACATATTCTGCAGAGTCCCTACAATAGTTAGAATATACATTTTATTAACCTTCGCCCTGGTGGGGGGGGGCCATTTTGGCCCCCCCCTGTGGTTTTTCAGCGATAACTCAGAAACCACTTGAGTTAGCGCCCTGAAACTTTGTATAGCTGTTTATTCAACATTTTTACATCATGTCCTTTTTTGGGGGGTTCGGGTCAGGTCAGGTCAGGTCACAAGGTCACCAAAACTGACACCACCTCTAAAAAAGTTCAAAGCTCTCTCAAAGGCACAGCTTTTATCCGATCGATGTAAAATTTACAGTACTTGAAGATGTCACCCAGCTCTACAAAATGGCTATCTCGGATTTTTTATAAATGTGACCTAAGGTCAGGTCAGGTCATCGCTGCTCCCCATTATAAGTCAATGGGAGAATCGGAAAGTAGTTGTTTTTCAGCTAAATCGGGCGTGATTGTTCCTATATTTCGTTATTGAAGTGTCTTGGGTCAGCAAATCACAGCCCATGTGAAACCATTTGCTTGTGACCTCGCTGAGGTCACGCTAGGTCATCTCCCTGGTCACCAGAGGTCACCAGCGGTTTTTCTGCACTTACTTGTTATTGAATAGAGATAGAGACTCCGTTCGACGTTTATCGTGTTTGTCTCGTCAATGCGGATCGAATGATATGCAGCATGACCTATTTCGGTAAGGTCATGACCTTGACCTGAGGTCAAATTTTCAAAATGACCTTTCGAGGTCAAACTATATATCATTCGACGCGTCTCGACGAGCCAAGCACGATGGTGCATGAATCGTTTCTCTATTTTCTCGTGAATGCATGCTATAGTTAAAAACATTTTCAACGAAATTTGCCAAGTTGACCTTGCATGACCTCTGTAGGCCAAACCGTTGAGCTGAGGTCAAATCTGACGAACCTTGGCGAAAGAGCTTGAAAAGAGCTATCGATTGCTTTTTTCCGCGGCTCTCTAGCTCTTCTAGTTTCCGAGCTACAGCGGAATATGTCCGGCAACACCGAAAACACTGAAATTTGACCTATGATGACCTCTAGCGACCTCAATATTGACCTTAGCGGAAAAATGACCTAAATACTTTCGAACGTACTTGTTATGGGCTTTCGTTTGCTTTTTTCCGCGTCTTCCTAGCCCTCTTCGTTTTCGAGTTAGACGGGGGGGGTCATTTTGGCCCCCCCCCACCAGGGCGAAGGTGGCTCAGACCCACACCAGGGCGCGGGTTAACAAATTATGCTGCAAATAGGGTTTGTGACTATTTTCAAATATGACTACAGTCGTGTTGCGGTAACGCAACGTTGGGCACATCGGAAAGACAGGGGTGTTGCGAAAACGCAACGAGGGGCAAATTGGCAGGGCAGCGGAAGTATAGGAACATCAAATAGACTTCACTTGAGATACGTTGTGGGTTCTTTCCTTCTCTCCCCAATCTTCCTCCCTCTCTTCCACGCTCCCCCAACTCTCTCTCCTTCCCCCCCTCTCTCTCTCTCTCTCTCTCTCTCTCTCTCTCTCTCTCTCTCTCTCTCTCTCTCTCTCTCTCTCTCTCTCTCTCTCTCTCTCTCTCTCTCTCTCTCTCTCTCTCGTTTTGTAGTCGTGAGGGACGTGTAGGTATGTAAAGTGCAAGGTGCATTTGCACGTGAATGTTGCGACACGTTTCACATTAACTCACTTAAACAGCTATCAAACACTCATTTCTTTTTCTCGCAGCTTATCGGGCTATTCGAGCAATGGGTTTTCGAGTATCTGAAAATCGCATGGTAGGAAAAGGACCTGCATCAAACGGTCGGCGATGCTAACGGAGCTGAGAGATAGCGAGGTACTTTGAAAATTGGATCTACTTTGTACTAAATAATGGGGACGTAGTCTGGTATCAGACGACAGATAGCATTGTCATTCTCTGGGATGCAATCCGCTGGCCCTTACGTTAGAAAAGATAACTCCCAGAAGCGGCAAATGTGGGATATGCCCCCTCGGGGGGGGGGGGGGGCAACAGACCCCTTCGGCAGGAGTGATGAGGGCGTCTGGAAAATAATAGTTTATTTTTAGAATTCATGGTTTGCACGGATTGATAAGGTGGTTGATGTGAAGCATTGCTTATTTGTTTACTGAGGGTAGGCCTTTTGTCTAATCAGACCATTTTAGAGCTAGAAGCATTATTGGAATTAGGGAAAACATTGGTCTGAGCGGGCATGGTGAATCGTCGAGGCTGAGCCCATCCATCCAGGCCACCCATGAACCAGCCCCCCCCCCTTCCCAAGCACTTTCTGTATCCGGTTACAGACCTGTGCTCCTATGGGAGCTGCTCGAATGCGATATACCTAGTTGCCCGTCCAGCTCGAAACAAAGGTTGAGGCATGGAGAAGGTCGAAGGATTCTACTATCCTGAAGATGGAAAGGACGGATTGACGAAACACTTGGAAAGTGTGAACTGCATCGAATCACCAGTCTGCCCTGGCATTATTTCGAGAAAGAGGTTACAAGTGTGAAGGTCGCTGAGAGTGGGACAATGAAAATTTTGGATTAGGTGTAAAAGTGATAAAATGGGTCCTGGGAGAAACTTAAAGCCGAGTTGTTATGACGCTCTACGCCTTACGCAGGTAATTTGTGAAAGCCGGATAGGTTCATTTTTTGATAAGAGTGTGCACGAC